CCCCCCCCCCCCCACAACCCCCCACCCAAAGAAAAACTATGCACAATTGATGACCAACTCAAATGGTTGCGATCGTGCTCATTCTACCTAGCCCATGGTTACTGACATCCATAATCTCGCTACAGAAGGTGAACCCCATGGTTTTGATCCTTTGTTTCATAGCAGTAGTAGAGTCTTTGACCTTGCTCCTGATTTTATTCATTTTCAGCTGTTGGCTGCTATAATGTTTCCTAGAGGTTTTTAGTGTTTGGGCTTTGGCCATCCAGTTCACCGGAAAAATTAAAAAAAAATGATTCTAAAAACATAACCTGCCACATAAATGATGAATGCTGTGACTTATTGACAACTCAACTCTGTCAATCAAGATGCCAATGGGAAGCAAACACTTAGCATTAAATAAGCTAACATAATTACTAAATATAAAAGAATAATGTCAACAAAAAAGACTAAGAAAAAAGAAACCTATTCCAGATACCAATGGTAAGCAAACACTCAGCATTAATTAGCTAACATAAACACTAGATGAAAAAGAATAATGACAAGAAAACGACAAAAAAACCCTATACCTTTACAATCATATCAGGATGAAGATCCTCAATCTTCTCCACACATTTGCCATTAGAATTCCTGAAAAATCAGCAATCCACAATATAATCGGATGTAATTATCAGGTATTACAGTCAATCATACTATTATTATTATAATGACTGTATAATGTATAGGTTAAAACATAACTAGGGCATCAACCCATGCTGTGAACAGGGGTAGTAAACCAACATACCTAAACCAATACAACCAATTCTAATGCAGCATGACAAAAAATAGTAGAATCGGCAATAAAAGTTGAATTAACACTTGATGTTATTATGATATAGTGGAGCTTATTTAAAAAATGGAATGCAACATCTTAAACACAGGGAAACAGATGTAATCCTTTGGAAATGCATAAGTTAGATATTTCAATTCAAAATAGATAACTTGGACTCGCTGTAACAAAACCTCAAAAAAGAATCAGTTTAATATCCACATTTAAAATTAGTTATTTAAATACTATATATGAAGCAAGAAATTCACAAAATAGAAGAAAAGAAGAGACCATTTGCTGAAAAAATTGCATGCAAAAATGTTTTCAACAGGCTAAAAGGTCCAGCCAGAAGACTTGAAACAGATTGATCAGTTGGCAGAATATGAATGAGGTATTATGGATATTGGAAGTTGGCCCAAGCAGATAAACTACAGTAATAGTACCCTTGTAAACTGGTAATTTTTCAGGCAATTTTCAATTCAAATAAATGTTATATCAAGTTACTTAAAATGTTAGAAACAAATAAATGGACTAGACAGTACTAAAAGGGTTAAATATTTGAGTAAATGGAAACTGCATAGTGGTACAATAAAAAAAATAATAAAATAATAAATAAAAAAATAGGCCCAGGCTAGGAATGTTTAAAGATTCATCACAAAGTATCAGTTCTATTACTTACACAATGCTGTGAACATCTCCAGAATCCTGGGAAAGCATCACATTAGAAGATCGCAATGACAAATCAACATGGATAGTACCCTTGACAGTGTGGCTGATTTCAAGAACTACACATTTGACAAACTGCCCTTCTTGATATTCAGACAACGGATCAGGCACCAATGTGTCTGCAAGTTCAGTAAAATGTACTTTTCCATATGTGTGAGGACCAACTTGGACAAGCAATCCACCAACACCTGGAAGTATTTTACTAATCCTTCCACCTAAAATATCTCCTTCATGAACATATGCTGCTAAATCCTTATCCACAACATTAATTTGTGGCTCTTCACTAGTTCTGCAAGGGAGACTAGAAAAGGGGCGTGGAACCAACCGCAATAGCTTCTTCTCATTGTTCATACTTAGAACGTGACCAGAAACAAGTTGTCCAACACGATATCGATTCTGGAAATCCTCAAGCTCATTGGGTTCAATAGCACTGTCAAGAATATATAGCTGAGCCCTAACATTTCGAGATATTGTTAACCATACCCATTCACGTTCTACTTTATATACATAACCAGCCAGACATTGCCCAACTTTAAACTCAAGATTTTCAGGTACATCATCTCCTATATCACTGGAACCTGAATTGAAGTTGAGATTATATATTATTAAGTTGCAGGAAGATTATGATAATTTTATTAATTAACAAATACAAACTGTTGACATAAATTTAACAAGTAGATACTGAGATGGTATTAAAAAATTATGCTTATTTTCATGAGAAAACAAACTCAGGAAAACAAGGGCAGACTGGAAAAACATAAATGGGCACCAAAACAAAGTTCAATCATGGGTTTCTTTTAGGTTTAATACCTCAGTAGATCCTTGAAATGTTTTCTTTAGGTACCGAAACTAAAAAAAAATTGTAATTAGGTCTTTGATCTTCTACAGTTTTTGTAATTGGGTCATTAAAATTAATTTATAGTGGCTTAAAATCATTAGAAAAATAACAATTCATGATGGTTTTACCAACTCTAGAGACCCAATGACAGAAATTATAGAAGATTGTTAAAATAGTTGTTTATTATCTGATGTACAACTTTATAAAGCTGCTTTTTGCTGTTTCTAGCTTAAGGGTCAAGAGTCATAGGCGATAGCCTTTTTGTTTGACTGTACTTCATCAGACCTCTCTTACACATAGAGTTGGCAAACTGAGTTGGGCTTGTCAGGCTAGCCTGAACCCAACCGATAAATTATAAGGTTAGGTTTCTAAATTTCAAGCCCATATTCAAAGCATGCCTTTTTAACCTGTTCCAATAAAGTCTTTGTCATAACTGGGTTCAAGCCAGGCTAGCCTAGTCGGGCCACAGGCTTCCCACTTCTTTTAAAAAAATTTATTTAATATTTTACATATTGCTAAAAGTTAAAAGAGAAAGACCAGGAGTCTAAGAGTGAGAAGTCTAAAGGTCCAAAATAAATCACATAACTAGGTCAAATACTCAAATCTTTAACCTACTCATTCATTCATACACATAACACTACTTTTCTTTCACGGTGGTTTTTTCTTTCACATAACTAGACCAAGGCTTGTTGCAACCTGCGACTCTCACTCTCAATTATCATCTTTATATGGTAAAGTGATCTAACTCTAAACCATCAAATGTTTTATATTTTAAATTCAAATTTTACAAAAATTATTTCACATATTTAGCCTGTGAATGATGAAATAGAAGTTATAAACTTACACTTCGTGCATTTATTGCTGCTGCCTAGTGTGTGTTATTATATATTGATGGTCATGTATTGAAAATCCCACCACCAAATATTCACATTGAAAAAAAAGGGCTGCCCGAAAAGTCTGCATAAAGCTGGGCCTGGGCATCAATTTAGTAGTCGGCACTCAATCAGGACTTTTTGGCCAAGCTCATTGTAGCCCGCTGCCCACTTTGGGTCAGCCTGTTATGGACCGGGTAGCCCATTTTTCCAGCTCTACTTACACACACATATATATAATATACATCATATTTAGATACACTCACTGATTTTTCCATATTCTAAATCTCAAGTAAGTTTAAGGACTCAATTAAAAAAAAATAGTTTAGGGAAATAATTAAAAATTTTGAAAAAAATCAGGGACCTACAGATATATTAAACCTTTCTTTTTATACTCATTATAAAATAGGTGGGGATGGAAATATATTTGTCCTTGCTCCAATGACCATATAACTGATAACAATATTAATGTGGTTATTGCTGAAAATGGGAGCATTTAATGATTATTAAATTTTCTATGTAGCTGAGTCATTGTGTTTAGCTAAGTTCAATGTATCTGTGGAAGTAGTTCTCTTCAAAATAGCAGTAGTTATTTACTATATTTGTAATCATTATCATTATAAATAGATTACTCTGGTTCTCTCTTCTTAGTTATAATATAAGGACGTCAGGTAAAATTAATTCAACAAGGATGTAACTGTCAGACTAACTTGCAATCACCACTGAGGTAAAGATGAGTCCACACATAGCTACATTCAGTAGTGACATACTAACCTGTAACCATTTCAGGTCTGACTGATAGCTCCCACTGTGATAACTTCCTATTGCCATCTGTTTCATTAGGTTTTGCAACAATCCTTGCAGTCACTGTTTGCCCAATTTTGTAGCTAGAGAATGGATTTTCCAAAACATTTCCATTATGTACCTGTCCATAGATAGGCACTCAACTATAAATACTAAAACTAAAATAGATAGAACATCAACAAGAGGGCAAGCCTCACTGCACTGCAACGTTAAGGTTGCTGCTATGTGAACTTGGTCACAATTACAGCTGAAAAAACAGCATATCTGCTCAGGGTAAGACCGCTTACATCTGACACTCCCAACTTAAAATGCTAATTTAAATATTGACATCAGAAACACAGTAGAGTTACCTCTGTTATGTGAATCCTGCCAGGTAGACCAAATCCAAACTTCACTTTCAGTTCAAGTGTTTTGATGTCAGTAATCTGGACAACAATGTCATAAAAAAGAAAATTCATGAAACAAATTTTTAATTTGTCAGAATAAGAAATAGTATTAGTCTTAAGAGGGAAATGTCAATGTACAACTAGAAAGAGCAAAGGCAGCAAAAAAGGAAATAATTATCAATAGTGCAAAGAAGCTTTGCAAAGGAGGTTCTCTTAAAGCGTCTATAGCAAGAGCACCATTGAGAAACAAGCTCTAGAATTATGGCATACTTTTATCAGTAAAAAAAATAACCAATGTCAAAACACATAATTAAAACATATGACAGTTCCATGTAACCTTGCATGCAGTATGCAGCGAAAACCTTTAAATAAATACACGCTACTGACACATACCCATTAACACACATATAGATACATATTAAACAAACTAGATAACCCACATACCTCTGCCTCAACAAGAGTTCCCACTTTATAGCTAGACTTCTTCTTGGTTCTTTTAGAACTAGATGTCTCGTTGACCTCATTGAGAAGTAAAAGCAACTTCCCTGATGTTTCAGGGCTTGGAAGAGCCATGACAGTTGCAAAAACACTGACCAAAGTAAAAGATTTAATGCAATGAGTTGTGGGAAAACCAGAAAAATGTAATGAAGCTTCTATTCATGAAAACAATTCTCATTTTTAAAATTCAAAAGATAATAATAAAAAAGAGTATAAGGATTTTTCAGAAGCATGATATATCTATTAGCAATGGAATACTTGAAAAGAGTATACATCTCATGTTCAAAAACCTTTGAAATACAATAAAAAAAATGTCTAGTGTATTCCAGTTTACAGGAAATAAAATCAGTTTTTTATGATATGAGCTCATTAGACATATATTACACATAAATATTTGGCCTCCAAACACAATATTAGCAATAACCCAATCAAGCACTGGATCAAATACTGTAACTTTACAGGAAGAAGCAGACAAAATTAAGGAGTAAAGAATGATTATTAGTATATGATCAACACAGGAATCCAAAAATACATAAGGGAAAAAAATCACTAGTCATAATTTACGAGTAAAAAGAAAAATCCAAAGAAATCTCTCAAGAGAATACATGGTAACAAATACAGAAGACAAACAAACAGAATATAAATGAACATTTACTTGTACCAAAGAGAAAGAGCATACAACCACAAACTTTTCCAAAAAGGCCAATATAATAAGCCAGTAGGCAGTAGCAATTACCAACTTTACAATATACTAAAAGAGGAACTGAAGTCTAGGAATCACACAGGTGCCACTGGCCTGGCTGCTCAGTCATTCTTCAGACAGTGGCTCTAATGGATATTGATCTACCCATTTTTCCATCCAACATTATCATAGACACCATATTACTTGGACACAAACTAATGAGTAATGATGTAATGTGTAGTAATATGGTTTAAAATAAATGTGAAAAGCTCACCTCTGCCCATTTAGGTATTGTTTATGAGGACACCTTTGAGTATTATAGTCAGACACTGATGCATATCCTATAGTGTGATCACTTTCTGGAATTGATACAACCTGCTTTGTAGAGAATAAGTTCAGTAAAATATGCTAATATGCATGACCACGATTTACTAGCAGATAGCTAAAGGTGAAGAATAATATCAATACTTGCCAAGTAATTTTCTTTTACTATTTCCACCACTGCATTCACAGTCTGATGCAATACCAAGTCCTTTGATGCCTCTCTTCGACGTTTCTGGAATCAAGGTATCACATTGATTTGGTCAAACTATGTCAAGAATGAATGATGGAAGAAGCCTTGTGCACAAGGCTGCCCTTCTTAGGACAAAATTGAATGCCCAGTATAGAACCTTAATAATAAAGGGAAAAAATACAATTTTTTTACCTTCATTTAAAAAGGAATGTTTATTAGAGAGAAGAAAGAAATAATAGAACAGGATAATTTCCATTTTCCAATAGTGAATTCATAAAGATGGTTCCAAAGCATGACAGCATATAATTTGAAAGAAAAAATTTGCAAAGCTCTTTCTTTGACATGTAAGACAAAGTCCGATATATTTCATATGCGTAAAGATACGAAAAAGGAACAACTGGCAGGAAAAAATACGCAACCTTCTTGTTCGTATGACTTATGGAACTTTCTTTGGATTTATTAATGAACTCTGGTTTTAGAGTCAAATCAACGAGCCGTTCTGCCTTTGCAACATCAAGAACCAATGCTTCTACCACAGAGCCAGCCTCCAAACTAGCTCCAGCCACTAAGGAATCATATCACAATGAGAATTGGTACATGCACTTAAGCAAGAACCACCCAAACATATTAGTTAATAGTTTAATGACATATGGAAAGGAGAGAACTTACACTGATAATTGGTAATAAAACCAAAAACATCATTGTACTTTCTAAAGCTTATAACAAGACCGACATCCTTAACATCCTCAACTTTCCCTTTTGCAACCGTACCAATTTTAAATCCTTCAACCCACTTTAAATCAGATGCACCAGCACCAAGGCTTTGCAACTCAGCAATCTAATTCAAAGATGCACACGAGATTAGAAGTAATAATAAAGGAAGATAATGTTAAAGGAATTTCTGACAAAAAAAATGACACAAGGAATAAACAGAAATAGAGAAAATTAAAATGTTTTTTTTTATCGCAAGTATATAGCATTACATTGGCTGCTTTGATAAGTCAAAAAGAATTCCCAACCAGAAAATATTTTCATGTATTCAGCAAGAAATTGCCAAAATTCAGGGGTGGCAGAGACCACTTACCTATCCAAGAATGAAAGAATTAATGATAATGTCAACACATTCGGGCAAGAAAATTGGCTATCTTGTATTTAACAAAATTTAATGTAAAAGGAAGCACAAATTGAAATCTGCAGATTTGATTTAATTAAAAGAGCTAAATATATCACCTCAAAAAAATGCCACAAGAAGTAAATAGTAAAACTACACAAGTTCATCCCCTAATATAGTTGAAGAACAAAGTGGACACCTAGATCCTTTTCTAATCAAAATAAATGAGCCAAATGAACATATAGATGAACAAAAGTACTCTAGGTATCTAATTCTAAATATAATATAAAAATAAAAAATAAATAAAAACACTCTAGGCAGAAATTAAGACAACAAGACCATAACATGTTTCCTGGGCATATTTGAAAACAGCATTAGTGTTAGAGTGCATAAAATAATTTAACAAGTAGAATGATAAAATGTAAGATTGTGTCAATAATATATTTACATGACATTTTAATACCTTTTCATCCATCAGAAAGTAGTCCTGAATAAATGATGCATCAGTTGAAGAACATGCTGTCTGCTTTAGAGAGAGTGTTACTCTACCAGTTTCACTACTAAGCTGAAGAAATTAAAAAAGAAAAAGGTATGACACTGTTTTACCCTGCACTAAACTTTCATAAAATTGATATTTACAGCCTGAAATATACTAACATTGGATACATTGCTGCGAACTGATTGCCCAATGTAATAAGCTTCCAAAATATTGGTTTTCTGGTCATCAGCAGCCTGTAGAAGAGAATGAGATTGCCAGAATATCATATGCCTAAGATAAAGTGAGATGCATAAAAGAGAAAAAAGGGAAGGGGGAGCTGTTAAATTGAGATACCTTATTTCTTGGAGCAAAACCAGTTAAATGACCAAGGAAACGAACAAAGCAGCCAGACTCAATTAAGTTACATATATAGCCCTGCTTCATAGACAATTTATACAGCACAAGCAAAACTCAACAGCATGTTTGTGATTAATAATAATAAATTAAAAACTTATGTGACTATAAAAAAAAAATGCTGGAAGCAGTTTATATGTTTCGTGTCGATTCTTACATGTACAACAGAGTTAGGATGTATCTGATTGATATCTGCAGGAATCTGCTGAGCATGTTTGATAAGAGAACTTTTGGCAGACAGAATCAAATTGTTTCCCTTAACATCTACATTGATCAAAATGAAACAAAATAATAATACCAAGTTTATGATATAAGCTATCAATTTGATAAATGACACCGAAAAGCAAAACACAGAATAAAAAGAGTAAAGTCATTCATATCTAAGAAATAACACTATAAAAAATATGTTGAAGTTTCTGTTTCACACACGACACAAAGTTACTGAAAACTGTTGAAATTGAAGTGATCAAATTCTGAATATTTAAGACGTTGTGATGTAAAAAATTGACCTCTAATTTGTTCTCATACTTTAGGTCAAGAACAACTATAGTACCAAAAGCATAATTTTAATGATAGTAAAAAGCTGAATAATAGGAAATCTGTCCAGCAATGAATGACAAATCAAAAGATGTTATGATAGGAACAAGAGGATTCAAACTCATATACAACCATGAGGAAAACTGGGTAGCTTACCTAACTCTACAAGGTAAAAAAAATGACACACAACTGATAACAATTCATGCCTAACAGCTTTGCCCAGGCATTTACTTTGTCATGACATAAGCTACTACATGTACAAATAACATGCTGAATATCTTGAATGTACCTAGAACCAGTAGTTGATCAAAATTATATCCAGGTTTCAATAGTGAGTTCATCAAAATAGCTTGTCCTGCATAATAAGAAGCTAAAATTAGCAATTCCATTAAGAGTATGCAGCAATAGGAAAGCCTTTACAAAATAACCAATTGTTTTTTTTGGTTGATTTAAAAGCGAGTGATTTTGAAATTAGAGATTTAAAATGGACATTGAATATTTCCATCGTTTGTTTGATAGGAAATTAGAAAGGGAATGTAGTAAAAATCTGTGGATCCCACAATACTTCATTTCCTTGCTCCACAGGCATGATTTTGAGTCAAAATCAAATTTTGGAGTGTTGTATTGTATGTATTGCTAAGTTTATATTAATTTCATATATCATTGTCATCTCTTTTATATAATATGAGCATAATGCTGTTATCAGGTAGGCAGCGGATCAAAATAATTGTTTGAAATTATTAGTTTTTTAAATAGTTAATTTAAAATATTTCTACTTAAAAAATTAATTAAATATAAAATTAAGCAAATGTGTAAAAAATTATAATGTACATCTCATCATATTGCTGAATTAAAATTATATTTAAATTTAAAAATATTTGATTTAACATTGAATTTAATTAAATGGGTAAAATCATAATTTCATAATATTTTATTGGCTTAAATATGTTTTTAGTCCCTCAAATTTAGGATAAATTTTTTTTTGGTCCCTCAAATTTAAAATTGATGTTTAGTCCCTGTAATTTAAAAAAATCTCATTTTAGTCCTTATATTCAAATTTTGTTAAAAAATTTATCAAATATTATTACATAAAATCTACCTATTGATATCCCTGTTAGTGAAAATATCACATTAAATCCAATTGATATTGCATATCGTCCTAATTTGTTACTTTCAGATATGTTATTGGTGATCTGAGGGACTAAAATAAGATTTTTGAAAATTACAAGGACTAAAAATAATGATTTTAAATTTGAGGGACCAAAAACAATTTTATCTTAAATTTGAGGGACTAAAAACATATTTAAACCTATTTTATTTTTTTTTCTCTTTTCCTTTTTTTCTCATGTAACCAAACAAAGGAAAATAAATCACTCTATATCATTCTTTTATAATTCCATCAATCCAAACAACATAAAATTTCACTCCAAAATCACTTCAATTTATATCTCTTCTATTTCTTTCATCTCCAATTCTCTCCTTTCAATTTCACTTCCTATCCAAACAAAGTGTAAGGGAATTTTACCATGATGATCTGCCAAGTGCTCCATAGATATTGTACCCCTTGAGAAACCACTTGCATTGACATAAACAACTACAGCGGTAGATGTTATTCTGTCAACCACTCCTGAAACAAGGCTACCCAATGTAACCATATCATCTTCAGTAACCCTGTCATTTGAATTCACATTGGATTAGAATAATCTGTACCCCAGCGAAGTGCCTTCCTGTACTTTGTAATCAAAACCTTTAAAGTAAGTCAGCAGATAGCTATCTGTAAAACATGACAGAACTCATAGTACTTTCCAAATTCGGAAGAAAGCATATGATGCCTTCCCCAAAAAATACAGTTTGTTGATCAATTATATACTTAAAAATTTGGTAAAAATTTTTAGATGCAAGATCCCAACAAGCAGAAAGTGGAAAAGGCAAACCTTGTGGCCTTTATTATGAAACTAAGGTTGATCCTCCTTGAAGCAGGAATGGAACTTACAACCCGGCATTTGACAACTTGCCCAACATTGTACACTGTAACTGGATCAGCACCTGGCTCTAATCCAAGTTCAGATCTGCAATTAAATTAACAAATAATAACATGGTTCTAGTAAGACAATAACAGTTAAAACTCACATCACAACTGGAATGTAGTCAACAAATACATCACAGTTAAATTTTTAACTCATGAGAGAAAATGAAAGTTATGTTATGGATCATTTGATAAAATCAAAGAGACTAAACCCATGTGACAGAAACAAAAACTACGGAACAGCTAGTAAACATTTACTTAATGCAATATGCTATTTGCAAATGACCTAGGTGCTAAGGTGGGGGGGGGACTACTACAGACCATCAAAAACCACCATCCTAATAATTAAGCTAGAATAGCAGTGGGATATAGCATCCAGACCCAAAAAAGCTACTACAGTATAGCACAGTTAGATGACCACTATTATTAATTCCTATATATAGTCACACACACACACTCAAAACAATGATCCAAATATTCATAATTAACAATAAAAGTCAAGGAAACAAGCAAAATAAAAAAGACATGTCCATATTTTTTCAAATACAAGACATCTTAAAACATTCAATAAAAAAGTGACAGTAGGTGTAGCACAAAGAATAGAAGTTCATAGTTCAGTACATCAGTGAAGTTCAACATAGAGAAAAGAATGGAGGGTGGGTGCCATTGGAAATCCGGCCCAAGATGAGTGGGTGTCACAGTCACACAGTTAATAGAAGCGGGGAAAATTACATCCAATTAGGGATTTACATTCTAAATAAGGGTATGGAAATTTTAAGTATAACCCTAAAGAAAGCCTCCAAAACAACAAAGTTTTGAGATCCAAAATGAGTTTTCAACAAACTTTGACTCTAGCACCACTAGTGGCTGCATTTGAGGCTGCTATGGCCTTTATTGAAAAATGCACCACTATTCAGCTTTGTAGCAGCCCATGGCCACTTGCAAACTATTATAACTATGACATGACACTAAACCAAAACAGACAATCCAATTGAAACATGGTTCTAAATCATCTCCCCCATAAGAGGAAAATAAAAAAATTAAACAATAAAACATCCTTCAAAACTATATGAAAAACATTGTTAAATAAACACAAGAAAAAAATATTGTGGAAAATAAATTTTTTAATTTAAACCCCATGCATTGCCAGAATACCATTCATTAATTAGAACTATTTTGGGCACAATAGGACTTCTTAAATGTTTTATTTATCATTTTACCTTGTTCTGAGAAAGGAAATGGCTTCAAACTTTTAAAAAAAACCCACGATATATGAATGACATGAGAATGAAGTAGCCAAGTAAGTGGGTCATGATTAAAGGTGAAAAAATGTAAGAAATTTCCATTACTAAAAGCTCATACGATTTAAGCACACATTAAAATATAATTAACTGTGATCATGACACAAGTACATAGACAAATCAGAGACTTGCCTGGGAGAAAAACCTTGAACCCCATTATAAAACCGTACAAAGCATCCATGAACTTCTATCTTTGTTATCCATCCATGGGTTATCAAACCAACAGTTGCATCAGCATATGAACTAATAATCCCAAGTTTCGATTTCACCTGTAAAAATATTATATATCTGATTCAGAATTGAATATGGAACTAATCAATTCAGGTGGGGTGGGGTGGGGGATATTAATAAATGCTCTCAAATTTCTTCTTCATCTAGTGCAATGTAGAGACAAACAAGCATATTGAAAGATGTACATAAAAAAAGGAATCCTTTTATATGTGTCATTCATTTCTTTGAATGCCGTGTGTTCCTTCCACAAGTGCTGCTCTACATATTTCATCAATAAAAGGATGTTGTAATAGGAAATATGGAATCTAATGTTTATGGAAATACATCATTATAACATACTACTTGACCCCAGTTTCAGTACATGCAATGCTGCAAAAATACAATATCCTTCACAATATGGATAACTGTGACCAAAATAGAAAGATGGGAAAAATCAAAGTGGAAATTATATCCAGTGACCTATACCAAAAAGATTGTCATTTTTTTTTTAATTTTTGGTAGAATAAGGATTATTGTACTATTGGCGTAGTGCCAAGATTTTGACTAAGATCTTATTTGCTTGGTTGAGTGAGGTTTCAGGAGATATTATTTCATCAATGCATGGCAACTTTATTCATGGTAATCTTTTTTTTTGTGAATGGAAGAAAGATTTTGGACTTAGACCTCACTGCAAAAGAAGTACAAGAAACAAGCCATAGATGAAGTTCTTAAAAGGAAGGAACAGATTATCCAACAACCAATAGTCAGATAAACCTTACTTATGGAAGTCAAGAAAATATAATTCATGATATGTATGAAAAATAAAATTGATAGATGCACAAAGAAACCTTATACTGGATAAGAAAACTAAACAAGGGGAAAAAATTATTATAGTGCCTTTGAGATTGAATAAACTGGAGAAAAGGAGTACACATGTAGAAACATACAAGGGTTTTCTTGTGTGTAACTGTCACTCTTTTTGACTTGCAACCAAGCACGCGGAAAACCAATTCAGCTCCCACCTGTACCATCATGGCAGGTAAAGACTTTAGTCACATAATGTCTAAACCAGTAATCCGTCTCATTACAGACATGTGACAAAACAATTTTACATTAAATGGTCTAAAGAAACTAAAAAAAATGACAATACTAAAAATAAGCACAAGCATACATAGCTAGAATAGAACCTTAAATTTTTTTCCAGGCTTTGAAATTTCCAATTCAGACATATGTCGAAGAGGACAAAGTGCCTTCACACCACCAGGAATTTGCACTATGGCACCAAAGCTGTCAACCGAAAGAATCTTAGCCTTCACCACCATGCCTGGCTTGACATCAGAATGAGTAAACACAGCTTCGTCAATAGCACTAGCCTGCATGATATGAAAACATAAAGATGATTAAATGAAAGCCTCAAACTAAGTCAACATTATTCCACATAACATCAAAATTAAAATCATATCCACGCAGAAAGCTGTTATATGTAGAAACAACAGACTATCTCAGTTCATACAGCTAATATTTATTTCTTTTTAAAAAAACATGGACAAAAAAGTCATTAATTTGCTAATTGAAGAACATATTTAACATTAATAAACTACCCATCAGAAGAAAAGGTTATTGAATATAGAACAATCAAATTAGCTTGCTTCTAATTTGATGACATCAACACATTCAAATGAATATGTATGATTATGGGATAGAAAAAAAAAATGACATGAAACAAACCTTGGAGCTTTTGACACAACTGAAATGTAGAACATAAATGCTGAATGAAAAGATTGGAAACTATTTAATCTAGATTGGGATAGAAAAGAAACAGCTTGTTCATTTAAAAATATGAACTTTCAAAGGATATGATACGGACCAGATCAATTATAATCCTCCCAGAGCACTAAAAATTTAGAAGTTAGCAGAAACCTAACAATTTAACAATTATAATTCCCATAAGAGACTAGAGCCATTAGCATTTTTTCCATGCAATCAAGACAATCATCAGAATAAAGCACTCTTGAATTTGATACTGATAACTCCTATACCCATTATAACTATAAGGCCAAGCTCTTAAAATTATAAATGCACATAAAAACACAAAAACATATACATGCAAGTTTTGAAATAATAATACAATTTTGATGGCCCACATACATAGTCTACAACAATTAGACTGATAGGACATACACTCAATAAGGAAATTAACAAAAACATTTTCAATTTCAACAGATAACTCAGACACAGAGGACAGCTTGACTAAATATTAAATATAACTTGCCATTTGACAGCATATAGCAAAGCTGGTCAGCTAACAAGTGAATCATAAATAGATAAAGTTCCAAGTAGACTGCTTTATGATGTTCAATGTTAACCGGTCTTTGTAATCCATTCTCCATATAAAAACCCAGATAAGATGATAAAAAGTATGTGAAGCACGTGTAATACCAACATAAAAGGTGCTGCAATCGTTCAATTACAGAAGCTTATGATCTTTTAGACATTAAATGGAAAAACAGTAACAACCTTCAAAACTCCTGTAGCAATTCCTTCTAAATATCTTAACCCAAGAATCCGAACTCGAACATGATTTCCTTCCTTATACTTCTTCTCAAGTTTTTGGATCTCCTCTTCAGCAATATCAGATATCTGCCGACAATAATTTCAATGAAAAATTTCATTTTTCCCTGCTGGGGTAAGGCTTAGTTGTTATTGTAATGTAATTGAACATTCAGATTTTATACTGCAAAATTTCTGTGTAATTAAAACTAGTCCAGACACTACATACACTGACAAAAGCTGGAGTTGGCTCAGGAATTGATGGAACTTCAAGCAATAATCCTGATCCTTTATCCACCCTAACAACTTTTGACTTGTCATATATATCTCCAATGTTAACATGCTGCACAGCAAAGCCAGTTCATCAATATCCAACATGGAACACATGATTATTAACTTCAAAAAACAGAATAACAACATAAACACCAGGAGCGAAAGGGAGAAAGATTACAGTGCCGAAATAAATTATTTCTTATATATTATATCTGAAATACTATAGCACCTAACAGAAACACCAGGGAATAAAGCTTCAAATAGACTTCAACCCCTGAAATAACAACACTGGCAAAGTAGTTTATGTGCTAATCCTACTTCTATTAAATTGGGGACACAGGACTAAAGTTAGAACAACAAAATGTAAGCCACTTATTTTATAATTTATTGAAATTCCTATATTTATTTGAATATTAAAATCATTGTATCTGTAAGATTCAACAATATTTTAAATAGCAGCTTTTCTCAAAACAAATTTCCCAGCATTCTTTTTAGGCTTCACCAGACATAACAGAAAGTACAGAGAATTCATAGCTATGTAACCCATGCATAGTGAATCACATAGTTGACTCATTGATTCATGAAAAATGGCAGATTGTTCTAGTATAGACCTGTTTGTCCTCTTTCCTTTTGGTATAGAAATGATTTTAGGATTGTTTCAAACGCATTGCCAATTATTGCCTAAGATTCCTACCAATAATTTTAAAGAACTTAAAACATTTTCTTAAGTAATGCAATGGTCGCACTTTGTCATCTATTTTGTATTTTTTAGAACATGTTAACTTCCTTTTTTGTTCTTTTTGCTTACTCAAGTTACTCCAAACATGTTCTGATCAGTAACAATATTGATTATGTAAGCACCAGACAAGAAATGCCTCATTTAACAACATTGAAGGGTTGCAGAATCTATTCCATGGAATGAAATATCCAATCCTAAGAAAACCAACAATCTATAAGCTACAATACTTACAAAAGGAGGGGGCCTGTTCAGAACAAGATGTGGATTCAGCGTCAAACCAACAGCTCTACTTGATGGATCAATGAATAATATCCGAGAAACAACCTAGATAACATAAAAGGCACTTAGAACAATAGAGAAGGAACTTTGAAAGAAGGTACCAGCTTGACAGCACAAAAGACAGCATCAGCTCTCACAAACAATATCCCTAGCTCAATGTGAACATCCATCAAGGTAAAGTAAATATTAAGCTACAATCAACATGATGATGCATGATGAATTTATGACTGCAATCAGAAATCCAATGATGCCAAAGAACTAAGAAGTATACAACAAATCCTTTCATGGGAGGGTTGAGTAAGAACTTCTTTGATATAAAAAATAACATACCTAAAATAATGCTAAGGCATCAAAAAGCTTTTTCCACTTGAATAATAGATCAAATGATGCATGCATGCTTGAAAAATCTTGCACTTGGTATTTGAGAGCAGGGTAAGTTGTAAAGTTGCACGTAAAGGTAAAACTCATAAGTACCTTTTGAGATTCACCATACTTATCCTTCCAGTCTGATCCAGGATAAATATTTTGCAAATGAAACAGATCAACCTGAAATGACAAGATTCTAAAAATTAATGTTGTGAGAGGATTAGTTTGTTGAGAGAATCTATTTACACAATGTCATTGATACATTCAAATTACAACAATTGCAGGATACACTTACAGTTCCAGTGAAATATGTGAGAAATGATAACATAACACCATTATCAAGGATTGACTTCACACGGGCATTTACCATCATTCCTGGAACTAGAAGATCAATCGAAACACCTTTGAGATCCTTGGTCTGTATCAAATGCCCAAAGAAAATAACCAATCAAAAGGGAAAGTGATAATAAAAATAGATACTGAAAAGACAATATAATGAATACAAAGGAAGCATACCACACTTTTGGACATTGTATCAGGGTCAGAACTTAAGTAAACCACTTTACGAACTTTATCAATGCTCCTAACTAAACCTTGCAGAAGTTTCCCAAGTTTTACTTCACCACCCAAGCCTTCTGCAGGAAAAAAAAAAAAGGCAAAGAAAACCACAAATTGAGCTTTGGTTCAATCATGCCAGACACAATGAAGGAACAAAAATTCAGTATTCACAGAAGATGACTGATTTTTACCAGCAGAGCTGTTTTTCGGTAAGAACCCTGTGAAAGAAGCCAAACCAAAATGAAGAATGTATCCATGATCTTCAATGCTTTTGACATATGCAGCAAGGACCTGGATATACGTAGTGCACAAAAAATCGTTTCATTTATTGTATTCAATGAGCCCTAATCCCTATGACATTCAAAGGTCACTGAATATAGTGAATGGATCAAGAACAACACAACAGTATGCTACAATACAAAATGCATTTCTATCATCATGGTGGATCCCAATAGCATAATAAAATGTATATAATTAGAATAAGAATAAGAACTAGTTGAATTTTTTTTTTTCTTTTTCACTGTTACAACGCAATAAACAAATTTAAAGGAATAGAAACAGATTTAAGGTAGCATATTTTTTTATTAAAATTAGCAATAGCTCAGTATAACTTATTTAAAAGAATTGTTTTAAAACAGAAACATAAAATAATGAGAATTTTAGCAGCCTAAGTTTTTAGGAAATTCAATTTTAAGTTCAATTTACTACATTTTTTATGCAAAGCTACTTTATTATGAGAAAACAGGAGCACTGAAAAAAACTCAACACAATAAGCTATGAATATATGTAATCTACAATAAATAAATCAACAATAGGCAAATGCAGGATGATTTAAATGCTTCCATCCAGAGTAGCAAATATACAAACATAGAAGCCTGATTTAATTATAGGAGACTAGGAAACATATTCACTCCAATATACACACAATAATCTAAGGTTAAGGTCAGCATACGATTGCTTAAATGTTGAAATTACTCTTCCAAATGAATATTTTGGTAAATGTGTTCTTTTACCTTGAGATGTATATAGCCAGCTCCAAGTATATCATAATTGACAATCCCTTACAATCGAAGGATAAAACTAAATCCTAGTCTCAATGAATGATAAAAACAAGTTAACTACTAATAATTTCATGATAAAATAATGACATACCATGCCTTCCTGAACAACATCCAAGTTGTAGTTCTTCTGCAACAAGGAAAGACGCAAAGAAAGCCAAATTTTCCTGCTTCCTTTCTCTTTCTTGTCATCATCCAATCTCAGTACAACACAAGAAACCAGCTGCCCAACACAAAATAAACCAGAAAGGAAAATTTCCCCGACCTGATGGAAGAAAGAGAGAAACAGAGAAGTGAGCTAAAACTGATTGGCAAACAACAAGATTCAAAAATAATTAGAAAGTTTATGTTGAGTCATAGTGAAGAAAATGTGTAAGGAAAGCAGGACCAAGAACCATCAGAGTTTGGAAAGAAAAAAATATAACTCATTGCACACCTCAACTTTGTCGTCAAAAATAGGATCCAATGCATCTGAAGCATGAACTAATCCACGTAAACCCCCAGGTAAACTAACTACAAGGTCTTTTTCATTTACTTCAGCAACAACTCCCCAAAGCTTCATTCCAGGAGTTATATTCTGACATACGTGCAACAGCAAAAAGATTATGCACAACACACAAAGACAACAAGAATTCAATGACATAATGTCAATAAGCCAAATAAAAAACTGTAATAATTAAGAGTAGAAGCATATTTTAAAGCTCAGTTTGAACATTCTAGTTCTAAAATCGAATAAAAATAATAACATAAAATAAAATAAAATAAAATAATTATTTTATAACTATAAATTAAATATTAAAAAAAAACTTTTCACAGATAATTGAATTCACCATGACATGAATATACAAACTCAATCCTCAATCATGAAACCAAAAACTTCCAAATTCTATAAAAGTAGTTATCCATATTAAGCCCATATGGCATATACCATTGCAGTTCACTGGAGCTACGTTCTTCACATGGAATTACATAGAATCTATTTCTATACAAACTAAAAATGCTTTTAAGAGCTTCCCTACCAAAAAAAAAAACTCTTTATTTTCAATAGAAAAGCTTTCAAAAACTCTTTTAAGCTTGTATTCAATCAAACTCATAGTAAACTTATGCTCTACAAAGCAGAATAAACCACTCATCGCATGTAACACAAAAACATGTAGAAAAAATGAATAAGGTAGTAGAAACAAACTATCATTTGCATAATTGCATTGCTATATAAACTAAATTAGAGAAACAACCAATTTATGCTACCTTGAGAGTAATTCTATTCACACGCCGCGGCAATTTTCCGCTGATGCCATCACCGGAAAGCGAGCCCCAATCATCTGCGGCTTCCTTACTCTTACTCGACGCATTTTTCCCCTTCTTTTTCTTCGGCTTTCTCGAGTGATCCTCGGCACCAAACTCATCGTAATCACTCCTTCGGCTCGCAGAAAATTCTCCACCTAGAAGAAGCACATTCAATAAAACCAAATGCAAATTCAAATTCAAATTCAAATCAAACAAAAAAAGTATTCGGAAAAAAAAAAAAACAGAAGATAACGTGAGAGTGATCGTTCGCAACCTCGAGGGAAATCGGGAACCTCGTCTTCTAGCTGCAAAGTGAGTGCTTCTGACTTAGCGGCGGCGACGGCGTCGTTTTGTTCCCTCTTCTTAGGTTTGAATATTTTCTTCGAGGCCTTATCGATTTTCGGCTTGTCTCCTGAGTCATTGTTCTTCTTTGAATGCGATATTTTGGAATGCGGTGCCATGTGGAAACGTCTCTTAGCTCCGCGAGCTTGTGTTGTTTCACTTGGAGCCGGAGAAGAAGAAACACTGAAACAGGGTTTAGAAGAAGGGTTTTAGGGTGGGAAACGGTAAGAAGAAAAAGAATAACGAATTAGGACGCGCGTTGGGCCTAAGTTTAAGCCCAAAGAGAAAGAAACCCCAAACCCAAGTCAGCAGATAACTCGGGATAGTTGATCTTAAGCCTTTGTTTGATTAGAACTAGAGGAATTGATACTTACACCTCCAACCCCAACCAATGACACCAAGAAAGCATTGTCGATGGTGGCTACAAAAACAATTTTGGTAGTGTGAGGACTCAATGTGAAGGACAATCAACCTGTTTGAGAACAAGCAAAATCATTGGTTTGTCATTTTCATTATTTTGATAAAGTAGTTATTTGGAGTTAGAAGGTAAGATGTGTTTTTTTAATCTCCTCTACACTTGTGTAGTTATTCAAGTCAAATATATTTTAATTTCTTGAGTGAAGTAAGTATTCGAAATCACATGTTTTTAACACCCAAGGATTGTGTTATTGTTTTTCAAAGTTTGAAGATGGATTTTTGTTAAATGCATTGTGGATACTAGGGAGGAGATTCGTTTGTTTACTACCATAATATTATATGACCTACAAATTTAGGTTCACTTTCTTTGTGAAAAAGAAAAATAAAATAAAATAAGATACTTAATGTGATGTAGTTTCCACGAAGGCTTTTCATATTTTGTCAGAAATATCATAACAATTTGATAGAAAATTCATGCGTCATAGTCTTATTAATGAAATATCTCTTATCCACAAAGATTAAAAAAAATTGTATTACATCCTCTTACACATGTCCAAGTGGTTGAGGATCAAATGAAAATAGAATTAATGAGGAAAAAATAAGTAAATAAAAGATAAACAAAAGCAATTCCTACATGGTGAGAGGAGAGAAAAGGAGGAAGATGTTTTTCTCAAGTGATTGTTACGAAAGAGAGTCATTTTTCTCTAAAAAGTCAAATCAAGAGAATTTTTTATCTTAATCAATCCATGCTACACGACTTAATGAGTTGATGAAGAACATTATTCCTTTCTTTAGAGTTGGAATATCATGCATTTAAGATTGGTGTGGCAGCCGCTTTGTTAAAAGAAGGGTATCCTATTGCTTCTTCAAAAATAATTTCTTATGGAACTACTTTCAACTACCTTGCCTATAACCAAGAGTTCAGTGCTCTTTTCCAAGCCTTCCAATCTTAGAGACAACACTATTGTTCTTAAAAAAATTTTTAGTTATAGTTACCCTAAGTCACTTTGTTTTTTTAGGAAGGCAAGGAAATATTATTATAAAATAGTTTAATTTTTAGGAACCTAGGTGATCACATAGACACCCAAGATAGATTTTTTAGGTGTTAGTGAAAAACCTATTTTAAAGAAAATAGGAAAATATAGTTTGAGTTTATATAGAATAAAAGAGGTTCAAGAAGATCCCAACAAAATAAAAATCCTTAAGGATATACCCATTTTCCATATAGAGAGGATACATACGATAGAACCTAGTCTTTGTCAAGAAAATAATATTTTTAACACTTGTGAAATACTTTCTTTTACTGGTGTTAAAAAAAAAAGAATATGCTTAAGATTTAAGGATAAATCCTTTCAAAGGAGGAGGGGATGATGACATCATGCTCAAGGGGTTAATCCAAAAGGATCCAAAAGAAATGGAGTAGACTTAAAGGAAGAATGCCCAAGGTCTTATTAAGCTTTGGGTCATTTTTAGTAATCTACTTTCTCGTCTTTATATATATTTTTAATCATAAATATTTTCTTAATTTTGATCTTGTAATTTTGGGTCAAATAGTGCATAAATTTATTTTTTTTGTAATTTTCTATTTCGAAGTGTATTTAGTATTGTAAAGGGTCCAACTAGTATTTGACATATGTGCTTATTGAAATTTTTTACCATTATAAAAAAAATTTTAAAAAAAATTCCAAAATAAACCCCACATTTATTTATACAACTGAAATGATTTCTTGTAGCTGTTTGAAATTCGATTTTTTGGAAATCGAATTCCGAACGGTATATTTTTTCTTTATATAAAAATTATTTTATTAATTATATAAATTTATATATAAAAAATTTATAACTATAAAAATTAATATATTAATA